ATGAAAAAAATCCTATAGAAAATTAGAAGAGATAATCTTTATCTCAATCTGATAAAAGCCATCCATGATAATCCAACAACAAACATCATATTAAACGTTCAAAACTGAAAGCTTTCACTCTAAAATAAGGAACAAGAAAAGTATGTTCACTATCACCACTCCTATTCAATATAGTTCTGGAAACATTAACCAGAGAAATTAGACAAGACAAAGAAATAAAAGGAATAAAGGTAGGAAAGAAAGAAGTTAAATTATCATTATTTGCTGATGACATGATATTCTACATAGAAGACCCCAGAAGCTCCACCAAAAAACTTCTACATTTAATAATCAAATTCAGTTATGCAACTGGATACAAAGTCAACACTCAAAAATCAACTGGATTCCTATACACAAAAAAATGAATTCACTGAGAGATAAATTAGGGAAACCTTACATTTCACAATAGCATCCAACTAAATGAAATACTTAGGAATCATTCTAATGAATGAAGTAAACAACTTTTATATTGAAAACTACAGAATCATTGGTGCCTCTCTACCTCCACTTAAGTGTGAATCAAAATTAGTGACTGCTTATATCTTAGGTCTTATCACAATGGCTGTACTTAGAACATGAGCGAGGATTTCAGCTGACTTCTGAAGTAAATTTATCTTAAATATGAGTGGGGATTGCCTTTCTCTATTTCACTCCATCATCATGCTACACATAATTGAATGATTTCAAATAATTGTAAATGTATGATATATATTTTAAATTACTGCATAATTTTATTTGAAGGACTCTAGCACATTATGTTACAAGGATGCTTCTCAGTGACACTTAGGAAATTATTCGATGAAGTTCTTTTTATATCTATACCTATGTACAAAAGATTTTAATTAAAAGACTTGTTTGTCATCTTTTAAAAATTCACTTTGATTGATAAGGGTCATGGATCCTTCAAAGTTAAAGGCCTTGAAGAGCAAACTTTCCAGCCTGAAAATCAAATTACATTTATTTCCTAGTTGTGAACATCAACATAACTATCTGAATTATACGTTGCCCTTTGTTATAAAGAGTTGCTATGGTGTTTCTAAAATAAGAGTTTTATAGTTAATGTGTAGAAGGTTAAAAAAGGGATAAGGTACTAACGGATTGTGCTTATCCTAGGGTCTCACAGAAGGTACGACATATTTAATTCATTTTGTGAACTACAGAATGGGTTGTGGTCCAGACACAAAGCATAGGCAATAGGTTGATGTCTCTGTTTGGCCTAAGAGTTCTAAAGGAAGGCTGGCATTTGTTTAGTTAGTTGGTCAAGGCTGCCTTTACCTCTGATTAATGCATTATGTTAATGGGAGGATCACTTTATCTTTTCTCCTGAGTCCCTTGACTGCCCAACTGTAAGTGACTTGTCTGGATTGGGATTACTAGATACCAGGTGGTTTGTGTGAGGATGATTTTTCCTTTCAGACTCTAAGCCAAGTATAGGAAATCCTGGATACCTGTGTCTACTTTGTATCTGTCACTGAGGCATTTTTAAGTTTTTATTTATTTTTTTTTATTATTAAAACAACTTTACCAAAAAATCCCCTAAGCACAACTATTTACTGATCTCTAACGTATATATATGCATTTCTGACTTTAATTGTCATAGCAACTGATCATTTGTTTTAGAATTTTTATCTGAAAGCACAATGCATTGAGTCTCTTGAAAATCATCTTTCAGATCTTTTTTTTACAGAATGAATTTATGCACTGCTACTGTAGCATTCTCAAGGAATATGCATAAATACAAATGTATCCCTCAAGTGGGTTTCTTGCAGGAAGCAGTACTCTGCTTCTAAAAGATTTTATGTCTAGTCTTTCATAGAAAATCATTGTTTAATTTTTTTACAATGAATTTATGCACTGCTACTGTAGCATTCTCAAGGAATATGCATAAATACAAATGTATCCCTCAAGTGGGTTTCTTGCAGGAAGCAGTACTCTGCTTCTAAAAGATTTTATGTCTAGTCTTTCATAGAAAATCATTGTTTAACCATTTGGGGAGCATAAATCACTCAAGGATCATGTCTGTACATTGTGTAATGACTGAAAAAGCACATTGATGTATTCTACTTTGAACTTTGTTTAAAAAAGCTTATGTTTGGAAAACTCTCTTTTTTCTCTGTTTCTCAAGTCCTATGTTGTGCACACGCATGTGCTAGTGCACACGCATGTGCTAGTGCACACACATATGTGTGATAACACATTGTAAAAAACAAATTACTTTAATAAATAAAGGAAAATGGAGACCTGGAAAAAAAAAAGAAAACTACAGTGCTCTGAAAAAGGAGCTCAAAGAGGATAGAAAATGGAAAGATATCCATTACTCTTGGGTAGGAAGAACCTACAGTGAAAATGGCCATATTATCAAAATTGTTATACAGATGTGATGTCATCAACAACAAAATACCAGCAGCATACCTCACAGAATTAGAGAAAATAATCCAAAAATTCATTTGGAAGCAGAAGAGGCCTAAACTAGTGAAAGCAATTCTGAGCAACAATGGTAAGGGAGGGGGTCATCACAATGCCTGATTTGAAACTATACTACAAAGCTATAGTTATAAAAACATCATGGTAATGGCAAAACAACAGACCTGAGGATCAATGGAACAGATTAGAAGATGCAGAAACAACTCTAGACATATGCAACCACATTACCTTTGACAAAGGGGCCAAACACCCTCATTGAAAGAAATATATTCTCTTTCATAAATGGTGCTGGAATAACTGGCTTTCCTCATGATAAAGACTAAAATTAGACTCATGTCTCTCACCATGCACTAAACTAAAATCTAAATGGATGAAAGCCCTAAATATTAAAACAGAAACATTAAATCTGCTGAAAGATAGAATAGGTAGAACTTTGAAGAATAGGTGTAGGCAATGACCTTATGAACAAAACCCCAACTGCACAGGGAATATCACAAATAATCCATAACTGGGATCTTACTCCGTTAGAGAGCTGTGCACAGCACAAGAAAGTCCTGACAGAGTGAAGAGACAATCCACAGAGTGGGAAAATATTTATCCAGCTGTTCCTCAGAAAAAAGATTAATACTTAGAAGACAAATAATTCAAGAAATCAACCTCCAGAAATTTAAAGGCCCAACCAAAAATGGGCATCTGAAATGAATAAACACTTCTCAAATGAAGAAGTAGAAATGGCAAATAAATATATGAAATAATGTTCAACATCACTGGTCATTTGAGAGTTGCAAATTAAAACAATGCTGAGATTCTATCTCACTCCTGAAAAAAAGGCTGCTTCCAAGAAATCAACCAATAACAAATACTGGTGGGGAAAAGGATTCCTTGTCCAGTGTTGTTGGAAGTGTAGACTGGTGCAATCACTGTGGAAATTTCTTTGAAGTTTCCTCAAAAAACTAAAACTAGACATTGCATTTGACCCAACTATTACCCTTCTTGGTATCTTTCTGAAAGAATTAAAATCATCATACCACAACATTACATGCACATCCATGTTTATACCAGCACAGTCTGTAGTAGCTAAATCTTGGAAATAACCCCAATTTTCATCAACCAATGAATCATAATGAAGATGTGGTATTGTTATACAATGAAATACTACTCTACCATAAAGAATGATAAACTTGAGACATTTCTCAGTAAATTGACGCATGTTGAGACCATACTCTTAAGTGAAATAAATAAGACACAAATATTTTAATATTACATTGTTTTTCTGGTATGAGAAACTAAAAGGGTACATGAAGACATGAATTTATAATAGATATTGTGAAACAGGAAGAAAACGTTCAAATGGGGAGGGGAGCTAGAGAGGGAGATGAGGAAAGGAAGAAAGGGAAAGGAAAAATAGAGAAGAAAAGGAAAAATGAGACAAATGTTTTTAAAATAAATAGGAGAAGAGGAGTTGAAGTGAGAAGAGAGGTATGGAGAAAAAAGATATATCACATACAGGTAAAAATTCCCTCTGATGAATGTTATCATTACATAACTAAAATGTGCCGATAAAATAATTTTTTTAAAAAGACACATTGTCATTAGTTTCCCTTAAAAGATTTCCCTTTATTTCAAGGCGTGACCAAAAGCACAGTGAATTCCATGGTGAGGACCATTGAAAAGAATAACAGGCTCAAAATAACATGATGACATGTCCTCATCCACTGAACTCATTGGATCTGGCACTACATGACTTCTGGCTCTTCCCTGAATTAAAAATGGCCATGAAAGATAAATGTTTTGAATTTATTAGGAGAAAGAGCCCCAAAAAGGGTTATCTCCAGAAGTGCTTCAGAAATTGGCAAGAACAGATAACTGTTTTTAAAGTAGGGAAAATATTTTGGGGCAGATTAAAATGGCAAATGTCATAACTGTAATAAATATTTAAATATTCACCATATTTTTCATCACTATACATATCTATAGGGTATTGATAATTTGATACATGTATATGTAATGTATAATCATCAAATCAGAGTAATTAGGATTTCATCTGCTTAAGCATTCAGATTTTTCTATATTGGAGTCTTTAAATTCCTCTCTTCTAGGCTCTTATATATAGCAAATTGTTGTTGACTATAGTCACCTATTCTGCTTTAGAATACTAGAATTTATTTCTCCAACTTAACTGTATTTTGTTACTCAATAGCCTCTATCTCACTGGCCTCTAATGACCACTCTTCTAGTCTATTTTGCTTTGATACCAATTTTTGCATAATATACTTAAATGGGCACCTTGCAGGGTACAAAAATAGAGGTTAAACAATAGATTTAAACTTTACCATCCTAGCCAACTTTTCTATAAATAAAACCCTGACTTAGGTTGCACTTTTGAAAAGGTAAATACAAAAAGTCCACAGTCTTGTAATTAGACAAAATAGAGGAGAGAGAGAGAGAGAGAGAGTAAATCTCTGACTAAAGCCATACTTGCCATCTTCCCTGCCCCAAACTCCCCAGCCTACTCAATTCCAGGGATGCAGTCTTACCTCCCACAAACTGTGCTGCTCCCATGCAACGTCCCATCATTCTGGAGATGAGTTCTTCCATGCAGCAGCCTAGTACAGCAGCCAGTGCTACCAGAAGCAATAGTGCACAGCCAGCACCTGTCACAACTGTGCACATCTGCCAGGCCAAGCTTGGTATGGCACTGAAGCTGGAATAGCGCCCACATTCTTCCACCATGATCAGACTGTGCCCTTCTCCTCGAACTGGGTAGTTGCACCTGCGAAATGTACTGAATGATACTGGTTTCCCCAGCTGGGATCCAAAGAGCCAATAAGGCAGGAAGTAACTGGTAGAACTTGCCACAGCAGTAACAAGGGACAGGAATGCCCAGAGTGTCCCCGCCAAGGTCAGGCTGCTCCTCATGGTCTTTAGTTTCTCTGCAAGGATGTAGCGATGGGTACAGCACCAAATCAAAAAGTTACCCTGTAGGCTCCAGGGTGGGTCTATTTTTCATCCAGTTGACCGGCTACTCCTTGGGTTCATTTTTACATTATGTGGCCCTTGCTTCTGGATATTATTGTCTTGAAGACCATTGATGCCCAGCTTCCTTTCCTTCTGCCTGGATCAAAGTTTCAGTGTCATTAAGCTGCAGTGGAGAAACCACAAAGCTGAATTAGTGATTGATCTGCCAATCCACAGGCAGTCTAATCAACCAGCTTGTAACTCTTGACATCATATCAAAAAAGGAGGAGAGAAAACAAAGATATGGCAAGAGTCCCTGGAAATTCCAGCTGAATGGCTATTCTGGTTCAGAGGCCTGGAGGGAAGCAATTTGAGAGAGTGTCAGAAATGAAGTTGTTTTCAGAGAGTGAAGAAGGAAGTAAAATTCACAGGCCTGATCCTAAGGAAGAGATAAGAGGGCAGCTGTGATTATCATGGAGTTCCAGGACATTTCCATTTGACCTAGGATGTCCAACAATGTATTAAAGTGGGCTTTTCACGGGGATATATTTCCCAGTGATTATATATCAAGTTGATAATGGGGCCAAGTTGAAATGGGGCGAATAAGCTAGGCGTGGTGATGCATGCCTGTAATTCCATTACTCTGGGAGGCTGATGCAGAAGGATCAAAGCTTTTAGCTCAGCCTGGGTAACTTAGCAACTTTTTGGGACCTTGTTGCAATGTAAAAAATGTTAAAAGGTCTCAGTGTGAAGGTCCTGGGTTCAATCCCCCTTTACAGAAAAAGGGAGGAGGTAAGAAGGCAGTAAAAGGTACCTAATGTTGTACCTTATACCTGTCACTGAAGGAGCACTGTTTAGCCATGTATAATTGAAATGGGAGGTAATTTTCCAATTGTGGTAGTTAAATCTAGACTGACTACTAAGAAAAGCTTCCTTGTCCTTTGCTGACTATAGTTAAGAATGCTTCTCTTCTTCATGCAATAGATCAAGATCAGGCACTCCTTGCCTTGCTGCAGAAACATATAGCTGTTAGGACCCATCCAGGTCCCTCCTCGAATAAGCAATCTTCAATTCAACATGCTAAAAGACTTTCTACATTTGGTCTCCTTGGCCCAGCTCACAAATGGTCTTCACAGAATCCTCTGTCAAAAACCAACCATCTTTCCCCAATCCATTAATCTGGAATTGCTTTCTGGACAGTTTCTCTATTAGGGTAGCTAGAAACCCATTGTAGCCTTATGTCAGCAGCATGAATGCCTCCAGCAGGAAGATGTTGCAGTGTGTTTCAGAAACATCATGATTCATCACCACTCTTTAAAGTTATAAACTCCAGGCATGGTGGCGCAAGCCTGTAATCCCAGCACTCGGGAGGCTGAGGCAGGAGGATCGCTGTGAGTTCGAGACCAGCCTGGACTACATAGTGAGTTCCAGGTCAGTCTCAACTATGTAGTGAGACCCTGTCTCAAAACAAAAATCAAACAAATAAAGTTATAGGCAATAATGTGGAGGGGAGTTAGGACTGGGGAGGCCCAAAGCAGGGGCAGTGCAGGACCTAGATGTATGGAGCCAAGACATTGTCTATTTGAAACACTATCTGAAGCATGCAACGGTTGTATTCAGGGTCACAGCCATAAGCCCTTTCTCAAGCACTATCAAATAGCGCCTGACACAGAGTAGCCATGACAATTCTTGCTTGCTTAATGAAACCCTTTCTAGAATCATTCAATTTTCAGACTGGCAGGGACCTTAATGAATCACCTAATCCAACCTTCTTCTTTTACATATGGGGGAGTTTGGGCCAATAAAGAAGGAAGTGATTTTTCCTCAGTCACAGAAAACAGCGACACCTCAACCAGAAACCTGATCTGAAGATTCCTAGGCCAACTCTTTGCTACTACACAATGCTAACACCACCTCCCCGTCACTTTACAATGGGAATATAGAGAGGAAGTGCTTTGCCCAAGGGTAAATAGCTAGTGAGGTACACTGGCCAAACCAGAGCCCAATTTATTGATTCTTAGTATAATGCTCTTTTCCACTTAGCATAATTCCTCTCTTGATACATATGTTTTATGCTATATGTTTTGTGCAGGAAAGGAGCAGAGAACAAAAATTGCAGGTGCTTACTCCAGAACGCTAGGGTTTGAGAAGAAAGTGCCCTTAGCTGGTCCCTTGGAAATGGGGTTTTTATGTCAGTAGGTGGGGGAAATGAGAGAGATCATGAGGGATTGAAGGCCAACAGGGAGAAGTGGAACTAGTTTTGAGTAATTGCTGTTAGGAAGCAGGTATGCTTGGCAGCGATGAGGTAATCCTTCTGCATGTCATACTGGAGTTTGTGAGATTATGAAAAGCACATGCAGCCCTCTGTTATGGACTTATTTCCTGATGAAGAAGCTCAGGCTAGAGGAGAAGAGAAAAAAGAGCTGATAAACAGCTATTGACTACATCAACACAATCGCTTCTGAATTCATTTTTTCATACATTCTGTCCTCTATTCATGTGTGCGCTCTTAGGTTGTTAAGAAAGGTATTACCCCTCAATTTACAAATGAGCAAACTGAAAGTAAGCCAAGTGACTTGCTCAAAGATACACAGTGATTCAGTGACAGAGCCAATGCTTTTCACTTCTCTTTGGCTGGCAGACTTCTCCCATAGAATTATCCCAGTAGAATTACATCACCACCTCCACAGTATTCAAGTTAGAGGTCTCCATAGGTTCATATTAAGGACTTCAAAAATATCTAAGGATGGGAATATAGAGGGAAGGATATACAAGGTAGGAGGAAGGCCAATATCTATGAAATACACACAAAGTAGTAGAACAAGAGTATTAACTACCTCAAGTGTTGTAATTCCATATGTCCCACATGGTTGTAATCACCCTGAGATCAAAACTTCCAGTGGGCACAGAATGTAAGAAAGAGGAGGGGATTATGTTTATGAGTTGTGCGTAGAATATGATAGAAAAAGGGAGAAATATTTGGACATAAAGTTGACCTCATTTGTGACAAATAAGGGTATTAAACTATAATACTACCACTCACTGTCACCATAATTTCATTTAATTTTTTAACTTTATTTTTCTATTACATATTTATCATACATATTTATCACATTCATCATAGGGAATTTGTACCTGTACATAATATATCTTAAAGCCAGGAAGAAGGCAGAATCACAAAATTTAGTTTAACTGTATTCAGATATAGGATAACTCATTGTATTTCTGAATTTAAATTAAGTACTTCCAACTTTAGAATAGAACTCATTATCCATATTTAATTTAGGTCTGGGGTGAACAACCATGCCAGTTTTCCTAGAACTAGTTTTCTGGCATGTAGGGCATTCAGTGGTAAACCAGAAAAGTCTCAAATGGCATGGGGAGGGTCACCTTATATAGAACTAGATGTTTTGTACCAGCACTCTCCATTAATAGGAGTGTGAGAATCACTGCAATAAAAAATTCTCTAATGTTCTCTCTCCAGAACTCAGCTAATATAAAGTTAAAAGTGACAATGGAATTCAACATTGGAGACATGCAACCTATACACATGGAATGCAAACCATTGTGCATCATAGACCTGACTTTATGAGATAAGGGAATAGATTTCCGAGATTCAACAATGCCTTATTTCTCAAGCACACAACAAATTCCAAAACAGTTTCTCTTTTTGAAGTGAGGCAGAAGATTAAGAGTGTGGATATCTGGCTCGGCAAGTGGTTGTGACCTGTCAATCACTTGTTTTGTCCAATGATTTTCTCAGTATGAGAAGAACCTAAAATCTCTAACAGGAGATCCCAAAACCCCAAATCCTGGTAACAGCTGAATAGGAAGCCAGCAGGATATGTGAAGTCTGTAAATGCACACTGCTATATGTTGACTTGTGCTGGGCAGCGAAAAGCATTCTAGCAAATGCTTTCAGTTCCATCACCTGTGATGGAGTAATTCCCCTTGTGACAGCCCTCCAAAGCAATCCAAACTTAGTCCCAGACACTGGCTAAGGCACTTTCTAATGCATACTGATAAAAACAACAAAAAGTGCTGTATTTTATCCTATCTTAATTCCTTGTGTACGCTACCTGTATACAATAGCACTGATTCTCTCCCTGAAATGTGCGGCTTTACAGTCATACTAGACTTCAGGAAACAATAATGGGACCATAGTACTCCTGCAGAGTAGTCCAGTAACCAGGTATTGATAGAGGTAGGATAAAAAAGTAAAAACAATATAAAAAAGAGACAAGGAAAATAACAATTTTAAAAATGAAAGCTATAGCTTCAGCACACAAGCTTAGTTTTATTCTATTTTTCTCTTCTCCCAAAACACAATAAATCTGGGATATTCCCTTTCACCTACAGATGACTTACCTATTCACTTTTTACTTGCAAAGAGTTCTCTTTCACCTGTGAATATACCCTTTTTTCACCTACAAATTAGTTTTTTTCCAATAAATGGATCATTATCTTAATATGGGTAGACCATCCTCTCCCACCCACTAGATAAAATTAATAATATAGATTATAAAATTCTACAGAATTCCACCACCTAAAACACATCAAGTTTCCCAGTTACAAACTGCAGTGTGTCTCACTTCTTGAAGCACCTGCAACTCTACTCTTGAATGTGTCCTAAAATCTCTGCCTAATAAACCCTCCTGTACCTTTCACTGATGTGTTGCAAGGATTTTTTTTTCTGCAATAGAGGTCAGCAAACTTACAAACTTATGCCACAAAAGGGTGGGTGAAAGTCATTATTTCAGCCTTAGGGACCTTCTCAGACCAACCCAGATGGCAATAGGATTGCATTTGAATCTCCCTCTTATGATTTTACATTGTCTTTTATCCCTCACTTTCCCTGCTAAATGAGTTATATGACTGTTTCTGATAGTAGTTGTATGATATGCACTATGTGTAGCCAGAAAGTTATGATAACTACAGTGGAAGTATGAAGTCTGATCTAAATTTACTATTCTCACCAAAGCTTAATTTTTGCTAATCTTTAAAGATATTCTGGACACTATATCAGCCTTATGTGTAGAGGTTAACTTGACAGGTAGAAAAGCAATGTAAGCCACAAATGTCAAATGGGTTTCTCTACATTTAAAAAAAATCTAGACCAGAAATAAAGAGTAAAGTAAAAGATAATAAGAAATATATTTTTACAAAAGAAGACAAGAGATGGGGGGAGAAGAAGTAAAAGGGATTAAAAAAAGAACTAAGAGGGCCGGATATTTAACTCAGCGGTTCGGTGGCCTGCTTCACAAGCGCAAGGACCCGAGTTCGATCCCCGGTACCAAAAAAAAAAAAAAAAAAAAGAACTAAGATGTATTATGTACTTTTACCAATTTCACACAAGGAAAGTAATCATTATGTACTTCAAACGTGTACTAATGAAATTAAAAGAAATAAATCTAAGGAAAGGGAATTTACATTTTTCACAGTAAATTAACAACTCTCACTGTTGATAAATCATATGTCACAGCCCTTTATAAAACTTTTGTTCTGCAACTTAAGGCCAGTTCCTTTTGTTAGGCCCTCAGAGCGAATAGAGAACATCTGGCCATCATACCCTAGATGAGAGCCCTTTTTTTAGTCAGAATGCTAGTAAATTACTTTTATCCTCTTTCTCTACAAAATGAGATCTCTGTCTCTCCCTGTGAGGCCCCATTACCAAGCTTTTTTTAAATCAATTTTTCTCACTTTTTTCCCCTCATATGTGGGCATTTAGCATCAATATAACTGGAAACATGGTTCTTATATTTTTCTTAGAAAAGAAAAATAAATTACCTCCTTCCTCTACCTCATCTCTTTCACCATTCACACACACACACTACACACACACACACACACACACACACACACACACACACACACACATTCATTTTTTCCCACTGGAGCTTGTTGTACAATTTCTGAGTTAAGGAAAAGCATTCACTTAGTGAGAGTATCAGCTGCAGGTAAAAGAAAAAGTAACTTAAATGTCAGAATCAAAAAGTGGTCATAAGATGAATCACTGAATTACAGCTGTTTCCTGGCTGCAAAACTGCTTGTTTAGGACTGGTCTGTGAGGAGAAGCTTTATCGGCACTATTGTTAGGAAGGGAATGTGAACAGGCCTTTTTCCTTGTGCCTCAACTGTGGGCATTGCCTCCCTGTCAATGCTGTGACAGATTCATCTCACTCATTTTTCAGACTTTTCTATGAAATGAGCAATACATGCCAGTGTATAGGGATGGTCTAAAAATACAATGTGTGTTTAAATTTTACAGTATCTGACATATTGCCTTTAATACCCCAATGTACTCTCCCTTGCAAAAATATGGGGAAAACTACTTCAGGTGTCCACCAACAGAATGGCAGAGTTGTAAAACTGCTGTAGTTGTAAAAAAAAAATGCCACCTTATTCACTGGATCTAGCATGATATAACTTCTGTCTCTTTTTAAAAGTCAAAGGCTATAAAAGGTACATACATTCTAGACATCAAAGCAGCCATAACAGTGCAAGTAAAGATGCTGGTGAAAGAAGACTTTCAGAACTGCTGCAGAAAGTGGCAAGAGTGATGGGGGAAACGAGTGCAAAGTATGTGTTTGTGGGAGTATTTTGAGGTGGAATTAATGGCAATGTGTCTTTTAATGTAATAAATTCTTTTTATAAACATTCACTGTGTTTTTCAAATATCACCTCTTATGTTTCTGATAGGCAAATAGACTCCTGCTCCAGACAAATGCATTTGGTCAATGTCTCCTCTTTTATCAAGGTAGTTATATGAGCAACCTAAGTACTATAGATCTTTCTGTTTCAGGTGTAGCCTCACAAAAATCTACTATCATGTCCCAAATATTTACCTCCACATTTTCTGCCACCTGGATGCATTAGAAGTTTATCCTTCTCTGTGTATCTCTACCACTGGAGTTGCTCCAAGTCCCTCTGGTGCCTGAAATCATTTCATGATGTAGTCACTGAAAAGCCTTCACTTTCCACCTGTATCTTGGTGATTCGAAGAAGACACCATTTTGACCTCAGCTTTTAAGCTTGATAAAACTTCCTCCAGGCTCTTTCCCTCTTTGCCTCCTCTTTTTGTCTGTGTTAAAAAGACTAGAAAAAATAGTTGTGTTGGGCTAATTAATTTATTCATTTGTTTACCTGCATCTTACCATCATGAGAGAGACACTCACAAGCAAGTAAGGTACAAAAAGGCAAGAAGCCAGAGAGTATCAATTACCAATCAAAGCTTTAGAAATTTAACTCTAATTAACAGAGTTGGCCTTGCAGAGACAGAAAGGTCTTATATATAAAAAACTCCACATCAGGTCCTATGCTATTCCTTTTCTTCCGAGGTTAGAAAGATGGGAGCTGAACGATTTCCTTCAATTTCATATGAGCTTCTCTATTTACCACAAATGTTGCTTTACTGAATTGCTAAGAGTCTATGCATTGTCAAGTAGAGATCTTCAGCTCAGTTTTTACCCTGAGTTGATAGACAACGTGGATCTCACTTTCAGTAATCAATTGGTTGTCTAGGAGTATTACCTTACACTTTCAGTTGGTTAGAAACTCCTCAAAGCTGCTTTGGAAAAACATGATTAAGCCTTATCAAGGATGGACCAAGTATTAAAGTGGCCCCCTGTCAGGAGCAATTCTACATAATTTTGGTGAATAAACATTTGATTAGGCCTAGTTCTCCTGCCTACAGGCCAGCTACTGCATTTTGAGACATAACTCCCTTTTTTCCTCCAGTCACAGCTAAAACCTCAGTGGTCGAGTGATGCTGTGATTCTCCAGGACAAGATTATACCAGCTGAAGACCTGCTGGGGAGGAATAAAATCTTCATCTGCATAGTTCATTAATCTAGGATTTTCGCTGCCACTGTCCTCTGAATCATCTGTTACCCTGCTGTTCTCTGAGCCACATGTTACATTTGTTACTCCCAATGTACTGAATGAAGGTGTAGCAAGCTGGGGTCTCTCATCTTTCCCGTCCAGCACTGATCAGGCCTAAAGTTCAGCTTCTTCACTAAGTCTCATTTTTCTATCTTTCCTGTGTAATTAATTAATTTGCCTTGTGCTTCCCTGGCTCACAGGAGACTAGGACTCACTGCAGAGATTCTAGTAGCATCACCTTTCCCTGTTCCCTATAAGCCCCATACATTTAGGTCATAGTCCCGACCCTGCAATTGTGCCCTATAATTCATGGCCTCAGCTGGGAAAGTTCCACCACAGCTATCCATTGAGTGGACCTGGATAGTATAGGAAGTAAGGGGAAGTGGCACAGGTGAACTTGGAGCAACCCCCATGGTACATATCCAGAGGAGGAAAAATTTTCCTAAGGAGAACTTCAAGGAGTTAGGAGGTGCCATGGTTTATCAAGTGTTTCTCAAAGTGAGGGTTATAAGCCCCTGCATCATAATCACCCTAGATGCCTTTTCAAAATACAACACAGTCGCTGACCTCACCCTATCAGATTCATTGAATTTGAATATATAGAAATTTTCATTTCAAAAATATCTTCAATTGGTTTTGAAGGAAATTTATAATTTAGGGATACTGTTTCAGTGGAAAAGAGTCCAGATTTTAGAATCAGATCTGAGACAGCATTCAGAGGTCTATCCCTTACAGATAAAATGAAGCTGATGAAAGTGATATAAACCTCTGCATTTCAGTTTTATTTATAAAGAGGAAATGATGGAGCATAAAATTAAAGTGAAATTTTATGTAGTAGATCTAATACCAGGGTAGATGTCAAATCTTCCCCTTTCTACCAGAGAAGACCCTCATAAATAATAGACACACTTGAAACCATCCAAGAAGTGGATCATCACTCCTTTTTACTTTTACCCCTCAATCACTCTATGAGTGATTTCTCCCCACTCAATGGCTTCTTTCTGCTTTAGTTTTGTACCACAAAATGAAATCACTTGAAAGTGCTCTTTGCAAGAATAGATTTGTAGTTAAACTATTTCAGGTTCTGCTGGAAATCATCATGCTTGGCACATAGTAGGAACTAATAATATTTACTGAATGAATGCCATCTCTTATTTCCAGCCCTACTGGCCTCAACCCCTCATCCTCCATTTTATTACCATAACGCCAATTTAGGCAAATCTAACAGAAGACCTACCATATCAGGAAGCAGATCCACTTTTACTTGTATAGACAAGTCAGAACACAGTCCCTCCCTTCACTCCCAGAGACGTGCTCTTCCTCTCCTCAAGTTACCAGCTCCCCTGGGGAAACCAGCTAGCACTTAAACCTTAGGTCCTTAAGCCTTGTCAATATGAAATAAGAATTCAACCCTGATTCCTCTTAGCTTCTCTGCAAACAGCAGACTATTAAGAAATAAAAATATACCATGCTGCCCTTGGGAAAAAAAAGAGCTTCTCCCAGCTTTGAGAAGAAAGCACAAGAAGCCTGAGAATGGATGGACGAAGGAGGGCTGAACAAGAGGAGAGAAAAGCAGTTTCTTACTCAGCTGTTTCAATTGCATTTGCCCCAAGTGGCATATTTACCTTTGAATATGAAGGCTGACTGACTTGTTCCTTCTCCAGGGTCAGATCGGAGAAATAACTTCTCCCAGCTTGTCAGACAGAGATGGGAATCCCAGCTGCTCTTTGCAGTGGTGCCTGAAAACCTTACTTTACCTTTAGAAGACAGGGGCGGAGTCCAGTCTAATGGGAATTAACTCCAACCATGCTGGAGGCTTGAAATGCAACTTCAGACAGGCAGGCACTTGAAGTAGAAACTAGCTTAGTAGGCACTCAGTTCCCAACTTTAACCTCATAGTTGCTGTATCAAGTGTGCGTAGGATGGGGTGTATGCACAGCAATGCTCGGCTTGAATTGCATATCTATCTTATTTCCTCACCTGCTGCCTAAATCTCCGTCAAGAAACAAGTTCCAAGTTTCTCTGTCCTCCAAAGCCCTAAATAGTCTCCACCATAGATTAGGTAGCAGACTGATATAGCTGGAAACAACTGAGAGGACACATACCTGAATAGAATAGGACACTGTTCAGATATGATATATAGCTAAATGAAGAAGAAATGCTAGGCCTTTCTTCATGAAAATAAATCAATATTACCACACACATAGTAACTGTATATGTATGAACTATAACTGAAAATGTTGACATATTAAACTGAAGCAAGAAAATTGTAATTTTTTACATTGCCAATTAAAAAGTATCCTTTAAAAATTTTTAAAAAAGGAAATGAGTAAGAAACTGATTTCCACTGTCTGAAGGGAAGGTTGCTCCAACAGAGGAATCTTTTCCTTCAAGTTATAACACTGCTTACATTTAAGAAACTACTGGAAACTACTGGCCAGGGATTTAGCTCAGTGGTTCGGTGGCCTGCCTCTCAAGCACAAGGACCCGAGTTTGATCCCTGGTACCAAAAAAAAAAAAAAAAAGAGG